AAATCGTGGTAGAATGCGAATATCGTTAAGTTAATCGATTAATGAATCAATTAACAAATGAACAAAGTGCCAATTTTAAAATCATTCGAAAGTTCTTCTATTCTCTACGGGGGCTAACCTCGGGGCTATTCTTTGGTGCAAGCAATGGAAATATTTACCTTATTTTACAAAAGTCGGGTAGATGAATCGAAAATACTCAAGTTGATAGCCCCTCGACGTCGGTGCTATTACTTTGATTCGCCAGTATACATTGCAATTTTCCTCGCAATCTTCTCAAGCTTGCAATTGCTCATTACAGCTAAAATGCTATTTTTCGTAATTATGACACTATAAAATACTAAATCTATAAGAAGCAAGAAGAGGCGGTAAAGTTTGTGTATGATAAATAAAATTTGTCAATTTTGCTTTCAGAAGGTCACAACTAGCGATTTTATGAACGCTGATTGCTCACTCATCGTTAGAGATCATCACTATTGTGACCCTCTGAAAGCTAAATTGACAGGTTTTATTTGGCACTTTACCTTCTCTTCTTAGATCTTGTAAGTAAGAATTATCATTAATATATCTCATAGCTTCAAACATCCGAAAAATAGCATTTTAGCTGTAATGAGCATTTGTAAGCTTGCTTCCACCATCACGTAATATTAGAATAGTCCACTGATCGAGTATTTGGTTATGCTGCATAGGCCATGACCGTTAAAAAGTACACGCTAAGATGCACATACCTAAAAGTCGGTAAAGAATACCTAGATATCGGTAAAAATTACCGATAATCGAAGAGAGTGCACATACCTTGACGTTAAAAATGTCCTAATTTATAGTAAAAAATAGCCTAACTAGAGTAAAGAGTAACGATTTTTATCGATAAAAAGTACCGATAATTTTAGGTAATTGTAGCTTAGAGTGTAGAAAAGTAATTTTCTACTGACACGCTATTTCAAAACTTCCCAAATTTGGGTTCAATCCACCCAGATCGGTCAAAACTAAACCCACCCAAAAATGGGTAAACTGTGTTGGGAGTGACAAGTTGACAAATGAACAACATTCCCGCATAAACAATAACCATAAGAAGCGCCTAACCACCAATTCGGGATATCATCCCAACTTTATGTGGGATAGTCGTACCATCTATGATATCGTTAGAGTATGGTACCCGTTTATTAGGGTTGACATGAATCCGATCGACGTTGTTCATTTTTCAGCAACACAGTTTACCCATTTTTGGGTGGGTTCAGTTTTGACCGTCTGGGTGGATTGTACCCAAATTTGGGTAGTTTTGAAATAGCGTATATCTTGACGATCCTCACGCTCATTCTGGTCAATTTAAAATTGAGTCGAATGTACTCATCTCAGCGGCAAGTACGACTACTCAAAATTGAGTAGCCTTATGTTGGCTCACTTTTGAGTAATCGAAGTTCTTACTTAGACTGAGTCAAATCCATTCGATGATATTTTCAGTTGCGGGGAAGGTTTTTGTTTTGATTTTTATTCAAGGAAATGGAAATTTCCTGCTCGGGATGCATTCTACAGGAGCAGAAAATAGTAACGCCGTTTCCATACACGCACTTCAGCTTACTCACCGGGTTAGACACCGTCACAGCGACTGGCGTTTATGAGGCACAGCTCCTCAGGCCAACAAATCGAAACTCCAACAACAGCAACAACACCGGGTTAGTCGAAAAAATGCCAGTCGGAGGAAACGTCATAAGAAATGTTACTCAAAACCAAGGGGGGGAGGTGACTGTCAAATACGAACAATCTTCGCCTACCTCGCATAACTGGTTCCAAACGTAAACAAGCCATAAGAAACCTACAGCGTTTGTTTACGTTTGGAACCAGTTTCATACAAGATGATCAGTAGGCTGATTTGACAGCACATCCCCCCCAGCTCAAAACCGGCTGAAATGCCTTCACGGTAACCAGCGTAAACACATAAATGAGTAAAAATAAACACATTTTTTTATATTTATATGCAGCTGTCAAAAAATGTGTAAATTTGGAGACCTTAAAATGTGTAAAAAAATACACATTTTAAGAATTTAGTACCAGTCAAAAAATGTGTATTTTTATACTCATTAATGGGTAAAGGCTGTCCACGAATCAAATTTCAATTGCCACATACAAAATTGATTCGCAAAATTCGAGTTTTCATCCGATTGCCATCAAATTTTCAGGGATTGAGAAATAACTATTAAACTTCATTTTACCATTTTACTCGTATTTTATTTACAGTCCATACGCAAATGCCCGCACCTTGGCCTTAACCCCGGCCATAAGATTCTGCACAACCTGTGAATCAACCGTTTTTTGCATGTAAACCCATACTTTCTTCAGTTCCTCGACTGTCTTCACTACCTTAGGTCGTTTAAGAAGGTGCTGCTTCATAATCGCCCAGTACTTCTCGATGGGGCGGAGCTCCGGAGTGTTGGGAGGGTTGAACATTTTCGGCACGAAATTGACCTTATTGTCCGCATACCACTTCAGCACGTCCTTGGAGTAGTGGCATGAGGCCAAATCCGACCAGAAGATTCTTGGGACGTTGTGAGTCTTCAGGAGAGGAAGCAGCCGCTTCTGGAGGCACTCTTTTATGTACACCTGTCCGTTCATCGTGTCCTGGGTCACGAAAGGTGCACTTCGCTTCCCGCACGTGCAGATGGCTTGCCAAACCAGGAATTTCTTCGCAAATTTGGACATCTTCTGAGTGCGGACATGCTCCGGAACGCTGAACTTATCCTTGGCCGTGAAAAACAGGTTGCCGGGGATCTGTTTGAAGTCGGCCTTCACATATGTTTCGTCGTCCATGATGTAGCATTTAACTTTCGTCAGCATGTTGAGGTACAACTTCCTGGCACGGGTTTTGGCGGACTTGTTCTGCTTCTCGTCGCGATTAGGGGCCTTTTGTACCTTGAACGTTCGAAGCCCAGCCTTAGTTTTGGCCTTCTGGACAAAACTTCGGCTTAGGTGCAGCTTCTTAGCCACATCCCTAACGGAGGCGTTCGGATTTCGGTTGAAGGCCCCAACTACGCGGTTGTGATTTTTGGTGTTGTACGGAATACTTTTTCCTTCACTTCTGGGCTTCCGATCGGTGGTCAACCGTTCCTCGAACCGCTTAATCACTCGCGACACCGTGGAATTCGCGATTCCCAACGTTTTAGCGATGGAACGATGCGAGAGATCCTTGTTCTCGTGATGAATGCGCAAGATTTTATCACGCACGAGCTGTTCTTTCGACTCCATTTCCGCGAGTTTTGATCACAGGACTTTAAAACTTGCAGGATGTAAATAATGCACTATGAACTAAATCCACCCAAATTTTCATTTAATTCTACCCAACGGTTAAAAAGTTAGAGCAATTTCATAGTGTGGCAATTTCATCGTGGACACCCTTTAAAACAAAACTTCAAGCTTTGCTGTATCCTGTCTTGTTTACGCAAGTAATTTGCATATATTTAAGTGACAGTACAACAGGAAAATGAAGGAACTACGGTCCAAGCTGGACAGTGCAACGATGGACATACTAGAGGCACAGACAAACAGACGTAACTCTTCATTGTGTATCTTCGTTCACGCATTTAACGGTTGATTTGAATATTATCAGTTTCGCGAACTACTCGCCGCTGCGCTGGCATCGGATCACTTTGACGTTTCTATACATTCTGTAGAACTTTCATGCAATATTGTTCGCGAGTTAGGGAGCAAGCTTGTTTTCCGCGAGAAGCCTGATAGATGTCGTTACTGAGGTCCTATGTTTTGAGATACTATGTTTTCAAGAACAACTTTTTCAAAGAGTTACGTCTGTTTGTCTGTGCTAGAGGTATTATTTTTTTTATATTTTCACATTTGAGTTTTAGAAAAAAAAATAATCACTGTCCGGTGTCTCGCTGCTTGCTTCATACTGATTTTTGTTTTTTCCTTGATTTGTTTTCCGTGCTGAGCACCAATGCTACTGACGCCAGGAAGGCAGCTTCCACACCTGGATCCTACCTATCGATCCATCAACTCATGAACCGGGAACCAATGGCTTTACTTCCCTTCCGAAGGCGTGATTCTCGGCGTGATCAGAGATATTATGCCTCAGAACATCCCATCGGTGCCGACTGGGATTGAAATCAGGCCTGCTGGGGTAAGAGGTAATCACGCTTATCACTACACCACCGGCGCCGCTACGGATTTTTTTGGCATACCTTTTTTTTAATAAAATATTATTGTATTCGTGCAATCTTTATTTTATCATTGACACAAATAAGAAAATTCCGAAGTTAATAAAAAACCATGCGCACCCATTATATTTCTAGAAATGATTACTTTTTACACATTTTGTTGTAAAAACCGTTCTTGGAAAACGTGTAAAAAATACACTTCTATTGACGTTTGCTGGATTTACACATTTTATGAGTAGGCCCCTTTTTCACGAAATGTGTGAAATTTTACACATTAATGTGTTTACGCTGGTTACCGTGTTCAGGTAACTAGTAATTGCTTACACGGTAACCGCAAAATACCCAATAATGACTACAAAGTAAGCATTTTCGAGGGAGACTACACAGCAAAAAAAAATGTGATATCGATCAACGTAATTCAAGCTGATGTATAAAATAATGATGTAATAGCAAAAAGCAGATACAATATTACATCAATGGATGTAATTTTGTTCGCAAAATCGATGTACATCGTACAATGTGATATTACACAACCGATGGATTGACCTGGTTGTAAAAATCTTACCCATTTATGAGTATTTGTTACTCAAAAATGAATACTTACTACTTGTTTTTGTAGTTGTAATTACTCATAAATGGGTAAAATTTTACTCATTTAATGGGTAGTCCCAGTTTCCCTCAAAAATGCTTACTTTGTAGTCATTATTAGATATTTTGCGGTTACCGTGTAGGGAAACGGTGTTGAACTATTTTCTGACTATCCAGCTCTCGATTATGAGTTGTTTCGATTTTCCGTGTGCGTGCTGATTAAACGTCAAAAAGCTCTAAAAAATCCCCAGTCGTCGTTAAAAACAAGACAATAATTAAATTTTGATTCTAGATTTCTTTTCTTCTAATAATTTACTGATACTCTCATGGTTTGAACTGTGCGGTTTTTCATCAATCAAAATGTTTGAAGTTTGCTGCCGCCTGTGTTTGGAACAGGCACCCTTACAAAACATTCACTCGCTCTACGGTAAGCACAAGGAATTCGTGATACGAGACAAAATTTATGAACTGTTTCAAATTCAGGTAAATCTATCTAGCCTTGCCCTAATGGTACTTATTTTTAAAAGGGTTTCATCAGTTTTCAGATACCGAAAAATTGTCGACGGTTTGCAATTGCTGTTTGGGAAAAATTGAAACTGTTGATGGCATCCGTGACTTCTTCTTGGAAGCAGACAAGAAGTTTAAACAGTTTTTGGCTAGGTAAAAAAGACAGTCGTATTTTATTTTCTATTATTAATATCTAAAATATAATTTTAGTAGTATCGAAGATCACGATAAGAAGGTTTGTGCCAAGCTCGTCACCGATAAGCATTTGAATGACGACTGCAAAACTAGCGTTTTCGCCAAAGGTAACAACAGTGCTTTGAACATCGTGGAAGAGCGGCTAACTGATGAAGATTCGAGTGAGGATCAACCAGCAGTTAAAGAAGAAGCATCGCAGGAATGTAGCAATCATCGAAAGTTAGTAGAAATTGAAATGGTTCACAGTGAGCATGAATCCGAACATGATCCGGTTATGGTTGACATATGTGAGAACTATTCCGAATCAGAAATATCGGTGCTTGGCGTTGACTTGGCCTCGAATCTCGCAGAACATCAAAGCGGTAAAATGGAGGATGATGAATTCAGTGATCATCAGGATGTAGTAATATACACTTCCGATCAAAGTTGCGAAGGGGTTATGACCTACGAGGAAACAAGGATGTCGGACATTGCCACTGATGATGAAGAGATTAATATGAAAGATTTAGTAGAAGTGGACAATGACAGAACCGCTTCGATAGGTGCTACAGGAGATGAGGAATTCAGCATTGTGACTATTGAATTTCAGTGTAATGTGTGTGGTGAAATATTCGAGGACGATATTTCTTTTATTCAGCACACCAATACATTCCATTTCCCAGAGTATCCACACCACTGCAAGCATTGTTATTTGGTTTTCAAGACTAACGATGAACTGACTACACATGAGTGTGCTAAGAAACTCAAAATAATGGTTTGTTCAGAATGCCCTGAACGTTTCCAGACCATTAAAGATTTAAGAAGTCATACTAAAAACATCCATGGACCTGGTCACGAACCGTCTAGAAAAACGAACCTTTTCAAGTGCGATTTTTGTGATTCAACCATGACTAACAACCTACAACTTATAAGTCATGGTCAGTTTGTCCATCCGGATGAGTTTGAATTACACCAATGTGATCGTTGTGAAAAAACCTTTGGAAATATGCAAGCGCTACGAGTTCACATGGCAGCTCATGAGCGAAATTTCGAATGTAGCTTCTGTAGCAAGGTGTGCCCCACCGCAGTAGCATTGGCCGGTCATGAAAACACCCACACAAAGGAACAACCGTTCCAATGCTCCCAATGTGGACGAAATTTTGCTCAGTACACCAGTATGCGAAGGCACATGAAAATCCACTTCAACGAGAAGGCGTACCAGTGTGATTTTTGTTCGAAACGATTCCGTCAAAGGACAGTTATGCTTACCCACAGAAGAATCCACACCGGTGAGAAACCGTTTGCCTGTGAAACATGTAGCAAGACGTTTCGGGACCACAGTACGCTGGCCAAGCATAAGAGAATTCACGAAAAGAAACAAGCAAACAACAAAAAGTAGGTGATTTCAACCATGTAATAGAATTAATTTGAAACAATTATGTTAGCAACAATTACCTACTTGTCTTCAAATGGTCAATGGATTTAGAAAGGAAGCGAATAACTTTTGTTTTGCTCATATTGAGCATCCATGAGCTCTTGCCCATATAATAAAGATAATTACAGTTAACTCTCAACAACTCGATGTCCACTAATTCGATATCGAGCTATAGAATCATTGTAAAAATTAATTTCCTGGCTACTGTGATAGCGATTTTGTATGGGATTTTTTATTCTATATCTCGATGATGGTCCCTTCAATATCGATTTGTAGAGAGTTTACTGTATTCAATATCATTAGCTCTGCGTTTATTTTATTGAGAAAAAAAAGATTTTTTTGTTCATGTTGACACCTTAACGCGAAGCTTACCGCTGCCGCTGAAATAAGAATGTAAAAGCAATAAAAACTGTTAAAATTTAAAACTTAATTTTTCTACAAATTCTAAAGAAATAATGACAAAAGCACAGACAAAAAAAAGTTTACACTGAAAACGACACTAAGTCAGAGATTGGGTCACTTTCACTCAGCTGTATAGATGAATTTCTAAAAGCGTAAGCTATTCATGCGCAGGGTTGGTAGCAGGTCAATTTTTAGTGACTTGGTCACTATTTTGAAGCCAGTCACTATTTCTTTAAAAATAGTCAATTTTTCACCACTAAAAACGAGTGAAATTTAAAAACATCAACAAAATGTTTGAATTGAGTACTTGGCACTAAGAAAGTTTACAGTAGTTTAACAAAATATTCATATCTGTTAACAAATTGAAAATTTTAACCCCGTGACCAGTGAACCGCAAAACTTTAGAACACCAGGAAAACTATATATTGGGAAATGCCTTCAATTTCGCTTAAAATCGGTAAACCCAGAAGATAAATTGTAAACCTTGGAAAGTTTCCAAAGGTATTTGTCTGTGATAGATTTTCAAAAGTCTTTCAAGGATGTTTAGAACTTTAAAAAATCCAAAGTAAATTTTAAGAGAATTTTAAAGGATTCTAGGGATGATACCAAGATATATCAGAGAAACATACCAAAGTACAGACAACGGAAGTCTCATGTAAAATTAAGTGCTCTGAGGACCGACTGGTTTACCAATATAGTTAAACTTGGCTTAACACATACGAGCGTCGCTTTTGATTATTGTTTAAATTATTAGAGACGCAAAATTCAGCTCCGAAACAATTCCAAGATAATTAAGAGTGCATTTTAACGAGAGTTCTAAGAAGAATTCTATGATGATTGGACTGCCGGTAATCGCAAGTCAGTCCCATCTGCGTTTTTATCAATTTTGAGTAAGCATCATTATTCAGTTTATCTTTCTATGTTTTTTTAGATGTGCTATTGAAAAAAGGTGGTTTGTTCAAGAAAAATGAAAAACAATACCAAGTCAAATTGTCCCACAGCTAAAAGTAACCGCAAGTCAGTCCCTTTTAGAAAACAATATGTTAGAAATGTTAGTCAACACATCGTATCATGAGATTTGTCTCAAGATAGATTTTGTCCACTTCTGAGTATCTTACGATACTCAGTTTTGCCGCCAATGGATATGGCTTCGAATTCTCATGTGATTTGATGTATCGCTTGAAGCATTTTGATTTAAATAGGATTTACCACTTCCCCGGGGATACCCGGAACTTGTTCGGGTGTGGCCTACATGGTGCTGGTCACTCATCATAACTCTTATTGATCTTGCTTTTGAATTCTCATGTGAATTGATTTATCTCATGGTGGGTTTGGCACGTTTATGAAAAGCTCTGGTCTGATGAAGACCCATACTCACCGGAATATGTTCCGGCCATTGCTCTGGAACCAGCGGAACAAATCCAGAAACATTCAATAACGTTCTATGGAACCATGCTATCTTTCTACTGTTCAATACTGTGCTAAACTGATGCAGCATCATCATGGAATTGTGACTGACTTGCGGATATTTTTCTCATTGACGTTAAATGTAATCGCTAGTCAGTCCCACTCAGATTTTGGCCAAAAAAAAAATTCACGATGTTTTTCCAATATGTTTGGGTAAACATTGCACATTGCACTATCACATTGCACGTTTATTTTTAAATCTATAGAGATTGCTAAAGTGTGATTGTGTCAGTGATTTGTTTTCATCGGGAAAATTTTCCGCTATGAAGTTTTTTTTCCCGATGAAAACATTTTACGTATACGTATACGTGACATAGTGTGCGTACGATAAATGTCAGCAATCTCTATTCCTCCAAAATACACTGAAGTCTTTTTTTACACGGTTTTCTACGATTTACACGGTACGTTTTTAACGATTTATCGACAACGATACAACCTATCGACTTGATTCCAATCACATTATCCATTTCAAGCTATAGGTAATCGAATGGCATACTTAAAAAAGTCACAATTTTTGGTTTAAATACAGAAATTTTTAAAATATGTCTATATGGACCATATCATGCTTTAATTGCAAATGGCATCAAAATCCGATTTTTCTTAAAACATTTAAGCAAGCGAAAAATCAAAATCTCGTAGGTTTTTGTTACACGGTACGTATCCCCTGTGTAAAAAAAGACCTGAGTGTAAATGTCAAATCAGAAAACTTGTAAAATCTTTGAACGCCGTTTTCTCATTTCCAGTTTTTTACAGATGGGACTGACTTGCGATAATGGGCAGTGGATGAGGATGAGGTCCAATTTTAATAAGAATTCAAAATTAGTTCTGATGAAAATTCCATGAAAATCCCGTGAACTCCAAAGATGGTATCTGCGGATAGTTCTAAAAGAATTCTGGGGTAATTTCTGAAGATACTTAAAAGAGAATTCTAAAGAGTTCAAAATAAATTCCGAGAAGAATTCCAATGGAATCGAATTTTGAGGGTTAAATCTCAAAGGAATTATGAGAAGAGTTTCATAGTTATTCTGTGATGGATTTTTGTTTTGAGAATTCTAAGGAAATACTATGGGAATTCTAAGGAGAAAATGAATTGAATTTTCAATTGAATGCAGGGGAGAAGTCCATGATTATTCTAAGCAGAAATTTGTGAAATTTCTGAGGAGATTCAAATAAATTTAAATTGGATTTATGGAAGGAGCCTTCAGGGATTTCCTACAAGAATCAATAAAAAATCGAAAATAATCTACTTTAACTAATCATGTGCTATTACTTCATGCGTGAATTTAACGATTTACATAGTCGGAGATGCTTAACGTCAAATATCAGACTTGAAGTGCAGATTTTATACGATAGATGAGGAGATTAAATTATAGAGCTCCGTTATAGTACGGCAGTGTGAAGATTGTATATACAAAGTAGAAAGCGAGCAAGGACAATTTTGAGGGAGGTACGTATCAGGTATATCGTTCAGCATGGTAATTCGCATTGTGATGGTATAATGAGGCCGTGGTTGGAGCATTGACCCTAAACAATATATTTTTTTAGGTTTTTTTGCGCTTTTGTAGCGAGCGTTTTGTCGGCTCTCAATTTAGTGTTCTAGATGCACTTCCAAAGTTATTAATTGAGAGCTTTCTATGCCAATCAAGACATGAATTTGTATATTATGTGGCAAGCACAATGATACTCTATCATTTATCATTTAACAGACTCAATATAGCCCCAATGATAGATTAAATTAAAATTAAATTTAATCCTGCTTCGACGTCGTCTTGGAAAATTCCTCTCGATCCTTCGGATTCTTATAGTAATCTGTTTGGAAGTCTATTTGAAGAAACTTTCTTCTGTCGTCATGGCGCATAGATGTAAAAGAAAAGTGCAATCTCTTGATCCCCCTTCTGATGAAATTGATTTGAGCCATCAGTTTGATATACCCACGGATGATCCATCATCCTGGCAAAATTCCAGTGTAAAGCTTCCCAGTTTAATGCCAAGAAATAAAAGATCATCATATTATGTCTTCATTTGAAACCAACATTTTTGAAACTTTGGGAGTTTCTGTTGAAACAAAATTTGTACAACTTATGTTTATAGCTCAATTTTCTCAAGAGTGACCTTCAGTAACTTACCCGTCATAGGTCTAAATTGTTCATTATTTGTTATTTTAATGCAAAACACTGCTCATAGAATAATGCTCAAAGCAATTCCAATGGTAATATTCTGTTAGATGATTGTTCTGCAGGTTATTACACTATTCAATATCCAAACAGCCCAACATGCTTTTCTTCAGCAAGAAATCCCTCAACTATTGATTTGGTCTTAACTAATTCATGTCAACTTTGTAGCCAAATGGTTACCCATGCTGTCTTCGGTTCTGACCACCTTCCAGAAACTTTTGAAATATCCCAATAAATAATTTCTAATCCTAACAGTTTTACTTCCAATTACCATAGAGCCGATTGGGAGCAATATCCGAACCTTTATGGATTATAATTTTTATTCAAATATTCCTTTGCAAACTTTGCAAAGATGATGTTAATTATGCTCTTGAATCTCTGACTACTTCTATAGTTGAAACAAGAGCTGCCTCAGTATCAAAATGCGAGGTTAAATTCGATTCAATTATAATAGACGAAGATCTTCAGCTCTTGATCCGTCTGAAAGATGTCCGTATGAAAGATGTCCGTATGAAAGATGTCCGTATGAGGAAATATCAAAGAACACGCGATCCTGCTATGAAAGTTATCTGGGGGGATTTGCAAAAAAACAAATTAAAAAGTGATTCTATAATAAAGAATAAAAAATAATAATAATAATAATAAATAAAGTGATTCTCTGTCCTGAGGAACAAAACATTTGAAAATATTGTTTCAAAATTAGACCCGACTTCTAAACCCTTTTGGAAGCTCAAAAAAAAATGAAAAAAAAACCTTAAAAGCCTATTCCAGCGCTAAAGGGGAAGTTTATCGGACCGAAAATAAAAAAAAAATATTTTCGGTACGTTTTTATTTTTCTAAAAGTATTGGGGAAAAAATATCAAAAATCCAAGAAAATCAGTTTCGTTCTTAGATTTTTGCCAAAAATTACATGTAAAAATAGTTTTTCTATTTAATCATGAAAAAAATATTGGACTCTCAACCAAACCGAAAAGTTGATGTTTTGTGGTTTTTTGAGTCCAAGTTTACGCCATAATGATTTATAAAAAATGTTTTTACACGTCACGTGAATTTTCTTTAAAAAATTTAAAAAATGTGATTTTTTTTAGATTTTTGACACATTTTTTCAAAATTTTTAGAAGTAGGGGAAGTTTACCGCTAACCGATAATTACATTTTGATTTTTTTTTTCTAAAAATATTGAAAAATATATCAAAAATCTAATCTTATACATGTAGTTTTTGTCAAGAATCTAAGGAAGAAACTGATTTTCTTTGATTTTTGATGATCTTTTCCAATATTTTTAGAAAAATAAACTTCCCTATAAGGGGGAGTTCACCGCTCCGAAGAAA